TATATATATATATATATATATATATATATATATATATATATAACCTACAAATTCTATATGAAACAATTTAAATTAATGAAATTGCATGGTCTATTCTATATGCTGATTAATTTTCTCTTTTTGCAGAAAACCGTAGAAGCATCACATTAGACTTGATGGGAACTTCATTTTGTCCTCTCCCGAAGCACCTGAGAATAAAGTATTTGTGAGAACTTTGCCATGTTTAGAAGAATGATATTTTTCATATCTTTTTTTTTTTTTTTTCAAACGAGCCACTTTATCTGTACATGACTTTCATGAGTTTCTGTGATAAAATGCCGAGAACCTTTTCTTTGCATCTCTTTAAATCCGGTAAACCAATACAAAGCTTTTTGTGTTATACCTAGGTGTTAAAATTCATCAATATGACTGAGTTTGGGTCTTGTTTGAATGGAATGAAAGGTTGGTTTGTAGTGGCTTTTGTATTTCTTCTAAGTTTTGCTGCCTGAAAGATCAAGTAGCTTTCATTTAGCCTTGGGAAGCCGAGGCCCCCGTTGCCTGTTTTTACTTATGCTTGGCACTCGGGGAAGATTACTAGCCTTGCTTGACATTAGGCCCTCTCCTGTTGAAAATAATGCAATAAAGATGTGAAGTTCACATCTGTTGTTGCTAGTACTTCCTCCGACCCCCTGATTAAAAACGGACACGCGTGAAAAATGGTTAGTGCTGTTATTCACAAGTATTGAGGTGTTGGAACGCTCTTTTTTGTTTTTCGTTTGAGCGTTTTCATTGTTTGCCCACCACAAAATGCAGTCCACTTATTATAAACACCAGATTAATAGCAAGAGTAAAGTGCTTGTGTACCTTTTCTTGTGTTTACAGTATATATACTCATCAATATCATGACAGCCTCGTTAAACAGCAAATATAATCGGGCCAGTATTAGACTAGACCAAGGTAGAAATTTGCACAAATCAGTAGGTTTCACACCTATTTGCCATTAACATTCACTAAGCTGCAACCCTGTTTAACAATGACCAAATAAAAACAAAACAAAAAAAAAGGAAAACGAAATGTAGACATTTATAACTTTGTTATAGCAAGACAAGTCCATGATTATCATCTAGAATTCGGTTTCTCCATGCTTTTAGGTTCATCATCAACTTCTTTGAACTCACGATCAATGTCACTGGATGCATCAGATTTGGTATCAGCTATTTCTTTTTCATGAGCAAGTGCAGCCTCATATATTTTCTGGCTCTTCATTTCCATTAGCTCCTTGGTTTCAGCTCTAATGTCTATTTGTCTTTCAACTGCATGGTCCTCTGCTTGTTCAAGTGCATTTGTAGTACCTCCACTAGCCTCACCATTGACATTTCTAATTAACCCCTCTCCATAAAGAAAAGTCTGTGGCTTTAGTAGTTTGACATTTTCATGCAGAATTATGTCATCATTCCCATCTTGATGGATTGTATGTGCTTCTCTCATGTTAAGACCTTTATAATATTGGTGGCTCACAAGCTTTTGCAAATTCCCCTCTCTTAATAACAGCATCTGTTTGTCAATTTTTGCTACATCTTTAGTAAAGGATCTACCCTTCAATTTTGCACCTTTACCATCCTCAAGATCTTCATACTTTTTCAGCCCTCCTTCAGAAGTCATTCTCCATCTCTTGGCCTTCATTTTCCTTCTGAAGCCATGTGTTACTCGCGCTCTGGAACCTTCACCATTTAGAGAGTGATTGAGTTTTTCCAATTTTATGCTACCATGTTTTTTACTGTCCATTGCTTTTGAATCACCATATTCATCTTTGGTTTCAAAAACTTGAGAATCATTAGAATTTCCAACACCGTTCACTGCATTTATGTTATTCATGGATCTGTTACTTGCTCCCAAAAATTCACCATGCTGAAAATCTTCCGGGTTATTAGACTTCCTGTCTCGTGCAGTTTCTCCATTTACTTGACTCTCTTCTGTACTCTTATCACCAATTTGTTTAGAACTTTCACCATTTCCATTGTTTTCCAGCTTTTGCAACTGCCCTTCTCTAGGAATTTCTGCCTCAAATGTACTGTTCTTTCCATTTTCGATCTGGTCATCATATCTTGTTGAATTCTGATCATCTTTGGTATTCATGGATTCTTGAAGTTGCCCCTCTTCAGCAATGGCACCATCCAACTTTGTCTCACCATTCTCGTTTTGATCCTCACCAACGATGTTCCTTGTGGTTAGATTTATAGGCAGACTTGATGGATCATCAATGCTTACTGACCAGATATGAGCATTGTTATCAAGATGGTGCTTCATTTCCTCAATTTCGGCTTCTTTCTTCTTCAAGAGTTCTGTTAGGGCTATTACTTGAGGATTCTCCTTGGTTGAGTCTGTCTCCTTTGCTCTCAGAGTTTTAATCTCATTCTGCTTCTCCTCTAGTGCTAATTCCAGGGTTCTGTGTTCCTCTTCAAGGGAGGGGAGAGGAGCGTGCAACCCAAAAGAGGTTATCTAGACGAATCCATAGTCCACTAATACAGTGTCTGACCCAATTGGGTTGTTTAGTGGAAGTGGATGTTGATGGCTGTAGTGAACTGGTGATAGTGATGATACCTGCAGCAAGAGCAGCAATCATCATTCGCATACAGTTCGTTCGGCAGTACTGTAGTAATTGTCTTACTCGATATGACTTTTATTCTTTCTGGTTTTGGTAGGACAGTGATCAGTGAAGGATGGACCTTCTGATTTTCTTTTGTTCACACACATAACTGTGGGTGCTTTTTTTTTTTGGCTTGGGTAAGTGGTCATGATCATGATGCAAGATGCATAGACTGAAGAGCTAGTTGATGGGACGATTCAGAAAACTCAGGAAGCTTCAAATCAATGGGTCCTTTCATATGTTTAGATCAAGTTTCCTTACCTACATATCCACTCAACTGGCCAAGGAGTTGAATTGTGAACAGTTGAAGGAGGGAGATATAAAGCTGTAAGCAGGAAGGGGGCATCTACAATTTCTTTATTTTTTTTCCCTTTACAGAGATGAGACGAGCAAATCTCACAATGCATGCCAAGGAGACGATATACAACATACTCTTACACGAAGAATCCTTTAGATGGATAAACTATGAAACCCCTGATCATAAGCAGTTTTATTTGAAAACACAATCAAGGGTGCAAGACATGGTGGTAGATTATTGCTTGATTTATTTGTAAACATGAGCAGATAGCACATGAAAATGGTCAGACGTGCATCTATATATATATGTGAGGGTGTTGTTTCATCATTTGAGTGATAGTGATTACAGCAACGTAGAATGAGATGATATATATACCTGTAAAAGGAGCTCAAGAGACATGATCTGACGGTCCTTGTCCTGGACGAGGAGGTTGAAAACGCGTCTCTCCCTGAGCTTGTGAAGCAGCATCACCCCCAACATTGCCGCCCCAAACGCCAGAATCAGCATCATCGCATATGGCCTCCCTCTACTATTGCCATTTCCCTTATTGATCGCCATCTCTCTCTCGTGTTGCCTCTCTGGTTTTCTAATATTGCACAGGCACAGATAGCATTTTTATTGCTTCACATGATAGCACATACACAGCAACATCTAAAGAGTAAAGACCCGTTGAAGTTGCTTTTCGTTTCTGTCTGTCTCTGTTCAGAGTTCATGCAAGCGCAATGTGTGACGTAGAAACGGAGGGTGCGAGGTGGAAGAAGCATGGGAAATGTGTCAGGAAGCTGATTCTAGAGATATTTATTCCATTCTGGAATGCCCGGCCTTAACATCATTTTGCAAAGTGGCAAGTAGTATAGATTCTCTGTATTTGTCGGTGTATTCTGTTGTTACTTCTGAAGAGGGGTAATGGAGTAACATATTTTTATTCTTCAACTAATATAAAAGCTCAATTACCTTTATTAACTTCTTAAGAAAACGCACTACTACGTTTCTACGGGGGTAAGGACTAAGGATGGCACCATGCAGAGGAAGTCGGTCTCTATAGATTCATATTTCGAATAAAGAGAAAGTGGTAAGAGGGGTTAATGCTCTTTTGCATTGATTAAGGCAGAAGGCAGTTTCAGGTCAAACACATACTTGCTTTCTGAGAGAGAGAGAGCAAATTAAAAGTAAAGTAGAGGTAGAGAGACCCTCTTCCTTTGGAACTATCAACTTCTTTTCATTCACACTGTACTGTGCAAATGTGTAACGCACTCAACCACGTTGACAAAATTTTCTGTTTACCCCTCAGCTTTGTTGTTGTCCAAGTCCAACCATTCTTAGATTGGAGGTATTGAGAACGATAGAACCTTCTCTGTGTCTCATTCCTAGCTTGTCCTTGTCGTGTTCTTAACCATTATATTCCAGGTGCAGAAGGAATTAATATGGGATACGGATAGCTCTCCAGTCTAATCACCCACATGCACATCATTTGGATCTGGAATATTCCAAATCAATGCAAATGCAAAGGCTATCCTCGTTATGAAATTATGATGCAGGCATCCCCATGTGGGTCATTATTCCTTAGGCTCCGTTTGGGAAGAATATAAATGCAGTAAATGAATTAGTTGTAAGCTTGCGGCTTCACTTGCATTTCGGACCTTATTTCAGCATTACAGTCTTAATTTTCTTCTTAAGCTGAACCCCAAGTGTTGTTATCATGAAAATTTCTCATCTTTAAAATCAAATTGTACTTTTCTCTAGGAAACTTTTCTTTTAAATCATTTAAAATTGTAAAGTTGCCCTTATCTTATAACCTTTTTTTTCCAGATAGCGCAAACAGTCACAGATGGAAATTTTGAATAAAAAAGAAAAGGAAAATAAAAGATGAAAGGGGTCTTGTTTAAGTAATTTAGGAGTAGGGATATGAAAGCACTTCTATCTTTCACAATGTACACCCCCCTCCCAAAAAAAGGAAAAGGGGCTTCCTGGAACAACTTGTTTGGAAAAGATGTAGGGTACCCCAAAAATCTCCTCACTGGGGTAGCATGGCTGGAATGATTGAATGAACATGTATTGGATGGACAATCAGGATGGTTACATATTTCGACATGGGAGAAATAAGGAACACTTCCTAGAGAAGAAGCAAAGCATTTAAAAAAAAAATGCTTTCCCACCATAATGTTGAATAATGCTTCTTCTTTCCAAGTGGATCGCTCTGATTCAATCCAAGTGCTTTCTTGCCTTTTCCTATCTCTGGGGTCAGAGTGTTCCATTTGTACTTAAAAAGAGTATGTGTCTACATGCTAGATGAAACACTTAGTAAAGAGATCTTAAACAGCCCAGAATTTTCATGTGGCAACTTTGGTTGTCATCAAAAGGGGTCCATATCTTCATCATATCGCCCTCTATTTATGTGGCAAAGGCCAGCCCAAACATCATTTCCACATGCATGGAAAAACAAAGCTTCTTTATTGGAATGTCCTAAATAGGAAGATCTTGAAACTTCAATGGTTGTATCACCCAATCAATCCCCTGATGGGTGAGAGATCAGCCCCAAAATATTCTCAAGATTTTTTCCAGTGTAACTCGATCTATCATCATTTTTTATTCTGAACTTTAAGTTTCTAACTTTCTGTTACATTAGACATTGCACTAATTCCCTCTCTCTAACCAGTTAATCACATCTATTCCAAACCAAATAATGTCAGGATCTTAGTCAACCCTACATTATTGCTCTTTTTTTTCCTACTCTAGTATATGGCTTAAGATTGCATGCCACTTTTACTATAAATTAGCCAAGTAACATACTATGGAAATATATCATTGGCTGGATGCCTAATGGTTCAGATGAAATCAGGATATCATGGGTGCTATTATATGCTAGTAATAGGGTCAATGCTTTTGTTCAGATGTATTTCTAGGTCTGTTTACTACTTAATAGCACATGGCCTTGCTAGGGGTGGGTTTCCACTAGGGATAAATTCAAGTTGAATGGGTGATGGTCTTTATGCTTTGGCATTTCGGTACAATGAAACAAAACTATCTTTGGGGAGTTGTTCTAAACAATTCTTTAAAACTGGACTGCACATCCAAGTAGGCATTCAATTCCAGTTCCCCCATTTTAACCAGATAGTTCAACCTCAAAACAGATAAACCATCTATTTTGATTAAATTGGATTCTGGTCCAGTTTTGGTCAATTGGCCTACTCTGCATTTGCTATATATCCTACACGCAGCCAATTGAACAATGGTGTAGCAGAGTTCTCGTATGTGTAGCCGACTGAATGATAGAGTGAAGTTTTTTATAAACAACCACCCCGAGTCTACATAGGGATGTTGGACCTTCCATGGGGCCCGTATGAACTACTCCAGGCTCCATTATATACTCTAGAAACAGCAGTTGCAGGACTAAATGAAAATACACAAGGCCATAACAATTTCAATAGTCTGACCATCTCAGCACGAAAATATAAAACTAAAACATATGAGCTATCGTTGATGAAGGAAGATACATGTGTTTTGTCTCAACAAAATGGAGGATATTCATAAACCACCAAAGTTCCAGTGCTACAAACACGCAACCTCCAGAAGTCACCATTTCATTAAGCTTTTACCAGCATTTGATTCTGCTCATTTATTCGTTCTTCTTGTCTGATGTTAGTTTTGATGCTATATCTCCGCTGTATGGTGTGACAGGGTATGCATACTGCTGCAAAACTGAAAAAACAACCATCTCCAGGCAGACCATGACATTTTGCAAGGCTTCCTCGATTTGCTCTACATCTAACCAAAAATGATGAGATTTAATGATACCCATTGCAGCAAGGATATCAAGCACAACTCTCTGCAAATAATCATACAAGGTCATTTTTGAAGATAAATGGAAACATAAGGTTGCTTCGTGCACAAAAGAACGATTTTGGAAGGACAACAAGCAACTGTTCACCAATGTCATAAATTTGGCTGCAGTGGTGCATATACACAGATAAGAAACAATACCACCTTTGGCTAGACACACATAAGAAACAATCTTCAACAGCTTTTAGTTCTAATAAATCCCAAAATATACTATTTATATCTTCATTGGTAGTTTTATGCTACAACCGCATGGATCCAACCAAATTTATACCAGGTAACTATGATATTAAGGAAACAACAGTTTATGTAGATTATGACAGCCACTAAGACATGGATGAGAAACATACCTGCCAAAAGCAGAAGAAAACAATCCCCTTTATGCACAAGAACTTGGCAAGAGGCTTGTGTGGCTCCAACTCCTTTGCAAACACATGGTAAAAAGCAACAAGGGAATACAGAGCCAGTGAAACAGAGATATTGAGAATGATGGTAAATGTCCAGCTGACCCAACTAGAGTACAGCCCCAGAATTTGGAGAACTATCAGCAATACAGAGCATACAGGCCGGATAAGGACAAACTGCCATGTCCAGTATTTAAGAAGCTTTAGCGTCTGGTGGTTCAGTCGAATGGTGTGTGGCTGCAAATCAAGAAATATGTATCAAATATATCTCCCACCAGGATTTAAATCTACTTCAATAGTTGGGCATCACCTAAGCTTTTTGGTACATATTGTTTGCTGATGACGTTGTTTTAATTGATGAAACTAACAAAGGATTAAATGCAAAATTAAGGTTATGGATAAATGCCCTAGAAAAAGAGAAGTTTTAAAGTAGGGCTAAAACAGAATATATGACACATAAATTTAATAACAATTGGAGTGCAAATCATGGTACACGTGGGATTGGTGACCAATGTCTCAAAACAATTCCAACTCTTTAACTACTGAAAAGTAATTATTTAATAAACAAATAAAGTGATGTAAAAAAGGAGAGCAACATCCATGCCAATGTCTAACCAATACAAGGTGTCTAAATGCAGCAACTTTAGAATGCCCAGAACAAGGACAATCCAGAGAGTTTGGAATTATGTATATGCAATAGAATAATAGGCTTTAAAAAATATTTGCCCCTTTCTAATATGTGATCGATTCAATATTATCAAATTTTAGCAAAAAACAAAAAAAAAAAAAACAAAAAGGAAATGAAGGAAATGACTGCACTTATTACATAGACCAAAAGTAGCATTTAGGAGCTCTGTATGGATTTATCAAATAAGCTTCTTGGAAGCATTAGCAGGAGCAATTTGTCAATAACTTGGGAAAAATCAGTTATTGAAGTGATAACCATTTTTCCCTTATCTCTGTCTTTTGAAAATTACAGTGATCATGTCAACATCATTAACAACTAATACATAATTAGGACAAAATCATTTTTCAGAGCACATGTCAAATGGAGTCTCTCCTCTACAGAACTCAGTCTGAAAGTTTTTATAAGAAGAGCTGAATCCATGTTTATAAAGCATCAATCTTTTACAGAACGAATCAGGGAAATGTAGTGGATAGCATTACTAATGGGATGTATAATACATTAATTTCATATAATGTCCTAACTAAAAATAAAACCAGGGAGAAACTTAAAAAAGATTAAAAAAAATCTCCACCTGGAAAAGGGTCATTGGAAATGAATGGTGAATTTCTCTTCCTTTGATTTCATCTGGAACTATGTTTTTGCTAATGGATATATTCAAATAACTGTACATCAAAGCCAAAAACTTAGCAATCACCTGCAAGTAGTATAACATGAAAAACCTAGTGGTGAGGCGATGACCAAATAAAGGATTAAATAGAACTATCTCACAGCTGACTGGAGGAGACTTACCAGAGCCTCATAACATTCCTTAATTGAWTCCAAGAACATGAAAAATGCCTTGCTTCCACGAACATCTAACAAACCAACAAAAGAGTCAATGGCATATATGGGGGCCATAAGAATGATAATTAGAATGGCCTTTTGCTCCTTTGGGTTTTTCCAGTAGAAGAGATGCTTCGTCAAAAGCTGCATTGTGAAATGCATTGTAAGCATTACACAGAATGCAGATCCTAAAATAGTAATCTGTCCCCGGTTCATTGTAGTTAAATCCATCACTTGTTAGTTATTTGCAAATTCCGAGTCAAAACCTGCAAAATAGTGTTCGACCTTAATTCTTCATCCAATCTTCTCACAGATAAAAAGTTTGAAATTGCAGCGAAGTGAGAGAGAGAGAGAGAGAGAGCTCCATTTTCATTTTTGGGCATACATACATGCATGTATAACAGAAAAATATATAAGTAGACAGAGTAAATTGCAAACTAGTAAATAATTTAAAAAGATAATATCAACAATAGAAATAACTATGACTATAGTTAGAATCATAATAACCATTCATCATATAAAAATTTTTCCACTGCAATCAAAAAAAGAAAAGAAAAGAAAAGAAAAAAGGATAAAGCTATTATACATAAGAAGGTTATTTCTGTAGTCAAATAAAATTTTGAAGATGAGAGGGAAGAATTTATAGGTTATATGGTTCGTTCAAAAATAATATTTTGATGCTGGGTCATGTATTGCATGCTTCATTACTTATTGGGTTTGACTGTATAAGCACTTTCACTCATTAGAAGGTTTTAACTAACAGCAATAAGCCATGGGGATAAGGAAGGTTCAGAAAAAGCAGTGAAAATTTTTGCCCTTTTACATGTATAATACCACTCTTTAGATGACGGGCAGAATACTATAAGGCCAAGTTCAACAAGTTAACCAGGACAATGACAATCCATAACTGTGTTTGGAATTCAGTGTGAAAGAACATTTTTGTGAACCAAAACATTTGAATTGCAGATTGGTGTCTAAAACAAGCATACATTCAATGCAACATACGTAATTAACTAAGGTGAAAAATTTTGAAAACAGTTCAGTACAAAAACTATTGGGTATGATGTAACTTGATAAGCATGTTACTGTAAGACGCATTGCTTATGACAAAGATAATTATGATTACGAGAAAAATCAAAATGAATGTCAAAGGCACTTAAGACGTGTTGTCATAATTTCTGCATACTTTCGGCCATGTTTGAATGACAATGGCCTTAGTTAATTAGAAGTGAAGGAAATCTTTTAAGCTTGCTATGAAGAAACAGATTCGTGGAAACCAAGTATTTAGATCACAAAAGGAAGTGAAGGAAACAGGAGAAAAGATTGGGCTCTTACAGAACTAACAATCATTCTAAACCATGCCACTTTCATCATTTAGTGCTGGAATCGTATCTAATAAAAAACAGAAGCAATGAAGCATCTGTAGGATAAGACAAGCAAGTGAAGCAACCATAGACAAAACCTAAATTACCATCATAAAGGGAGTGGGAAAACGGAAGAGAGGTGTAACCTTGAATCATTCCCTGAGTTTTGCTAAGAATTTCTAAAATTATACGAAACCAGCAATCCATCGCAACCCAAGTATGGATTACACCAACATTATTTAAATGAAGATCAGAAACTAAACAGACAAATATCAGATCAATAACTGAGACGTGACACTGAAGGGAAATCAACAAAGGATCGAAACAGAACTTCCTAAGAGGTTAACATCCAAAGCATTACTAAAACATCGCTCAATTAAGGTTCATTTCAGCTATGGCAGCAAATCTAAAATGCATAAACAATCCACAGAGGTCATCGAGTCTTACTGTTTAACCGGAAAAAAGAAGTTACATCTTTAGAGAATCAACATAAATTTAAGAGAAGGGCACTTACAGATACAGAGGAATCGACACTTCACTGACCAATATCGAATGAATGGACAATGCAGTGAATTGATGAATTGATTTGTCTGATAATAAATGAGAAAGGACAATAAAGAAGCATATTATGTTCGCCATGGCTTAGTTGCTCGCTCATGATAATTAATATGTTGCTCTCTACGCTGCAATGAAATCGACGCTGAAACCGAAAAAGTTTCGATCCTCTCAAGCTCAAAGGGTGCAAGTTGTAACACTTGGAAAGCAGTAACTGAAGTATATTGGACCAATCATGATAAACCACCTCCACCGTATAATGTGATACTTACATGTAGGGAAATGACGTGGTGTATTGTAATTGGCCCATTATTATCACTTATGTTCGTAGCGGATAATTAGTACTACCAGACCAAACTATTTTCATCATAACCATGGAGTTCCACCTTCCACGTGATGCTTGATTGCTTGCCACTACTTAGTTTAGGAGATCAAATCAGCCCCCCACGACATCACATCCCCGCCGTGTATTGGGAACATCTCCCGATGATAGTACCAGTCCTGATGATCATCGTCCCATAACACATCTCCACCGTGTATTAAAAACATCTCTCCATGATAGTACCAGAAATGATGATATCATCATTTGGAGATGTTCTCAATACATGGCGGGATATGCTGTGGAACGTTGTGGGGTGCAGTCTGGTGGGGGGCTGATTTGAACTCTTAGTTTAGCACCGACAATATGCTCCATTATACCTTTGGTGTAAATCGTGCCATCCTTAGGGGTGGAGTTAGGATTTTCTTTTGAAGGGGGCCAAAATGTAATAAACATGGATAGGGGGGCCAAAAGTTAATAAATATAGCTAGGGGAATCAAAATATAGGTAAAATTAAAATGGGTATTGTAGGGATTTTCAAGGCATAGGGGGGGCCATGGCCCCCTCTACCACCCCCTGGTCCACCATGGGTACAACCCGCGTGCCGCCATACTTCTTTCCTTTGGGATACTATGGGGTTGGCCTGATATGGCCTATGGCCCGAGCTTACACGTATCATGTTGTACTGCAAGTTGAGTTGATCTGTGAGTTGAGCCTTGGGCCAAGTCATATTTTTTAAAAATTAAAAAAAAAGATAATGAAAATTTAACATAAATTAAAAAAATAAACAAAAAATTAAAAAAGATCTTAAAATTTTATTTTATATAAATTTTGATGTATACAATTGTTTATATATGCAATAATAATATAACATAATTATATATATATATATATATATATATATATATATATATATATTATAATCTGTATATATATATATTATATGGGTTGTGCTCAGTCTTGCTGTGCCATGCCGGCGCATGGACCTAAAACCCCAGGCCTGATATAGCCCATGGGTAGCACAACCCGATTTACACTTCTACTTTTGTAGAACTAGAAAGTCTAGAATTAGGTGTGAGTCGAGCGGACTGGGCCAGGTTTTAGATTAATCCAAGCCCAACCCTAAGAATTGGATTTGAAGTCTGACCCAAACTGAGTGTAAGGTTAAGCCCAAACTATTCAATCCAAGTTCAATTCATACTAAAATTTGATGCATTCAGGTATGGTTCGAGTCCATGCTAGACTCAGATTGATCAATCAATTCATACTAAAAATTGATATACATGAATGTGTATATGTATGTTTATATGCACATATGTATGCAAATATTTGTCTATATATACACGTATACTCAAATTGGGATGAGGTCGAAGTAGACTTGGGCTAGGCTTAGGCCCAACCCAAAAAAATTAAAAAACCTAAACTTTTTGGCCTAAACCCCAACTCAAAGACCGAAAATCTAAACCCAGCCAATGTAAAATTTTGCGATAGATTGGTTGAGCCAGTCGGGTTCGAATCGGATTGGACCTGCCCAAATTGTACCCCTGAATAAAATCTCAAACCCTTAATGAGAAAAATAGGAAACAAGTTCATAAAATACTCCTGCTATTTACATGGAAAATTTACAGAAATAGGGTTCAACGTACGGGAATGAATTGAGCCTCTTTCTAGATGTAACCTTTGGATTCTCAGATCGCAGCGAACTTAATTAATTCCTTCAAGGAAAGCCATGACTTCAACTCTAATAAGATTATTATGAGCTAAGTATAAAACTTTGTAAGAAATCTTTATTTCAGAACAAGTGACGGGGGTTTGTGTAATTGTGTTAGGGGACCAATAATAACACCCCAGGACTGCCAAACCAATTATGTTAATAATATATAAGAATCTCTAGTTTCACTAAGGTTAAGTGCTAAATTATGTTATTACTAAGGTTTAGTAATGATAGAAGCCAAGTATAGTCGGGGTTAATCGGGTCAGACCCAATTGTCCCAGTTAAATAATTGGTTTAATTTTAGGTCTACTTCATATTATGATTGTCCCATCCGAATGGGACCGGTAATAGCATTGTGTCTCAAACCAGACCCGACCCATTGACAACTTTAATTAAGTGTACATGCCCTACAGTCACTCAAATCTCTCTTTGCGTGCATGACTCGCCTACACTTGTTATTTTTGGTATATATACAAACCTATAAAAATTTACGAGATGAAGAATCTATAAAAACACCTATACATTATTGATTATAAACAACCGTTAAATTCGGTTCTACTTCTACCAGATACAGATGCTCCTCCACCTTTCTTTTCTTCTTCGTCTCCTTTCACTTCATCCTCCTCCCTGGGCCCAATCCTTTCTACCTCTCACTATTGTGCACATGCATTCATATGGCTGATCATCATGATTATATTTGATGCCCTACTGCTGAAAAAACTTTGCAAATAATGAAGTAATAACTTTTAAAGTTAGCTTTGAACGGAGATCTAAAGATCATCTCACCAGCCACCACCAAACCAACAAAAAAAGAAAAGTAAGCTGCTAATTATGTTACACATATTTTCTATATAAAAGCCAAATTGTTTATATTCAATGTGGATTACATCCATTAGCTTGGTTGTTGTTCAAAACAGCACAGCCAAAGCTTCAAAACAACATAAGAAGGAAGTGTCCTTTAGCATTTGCATGCTGCAGAAACATCAAAACAAAAGAAAGTAGGCCAAGCATCTAGATGTTGTAGTGTTATACGGTTTGTCACTGACCATAGCTTCCTGTAGAGAGGGAGGTTGGGATCTTAGGGCTGTAATTAGTGAAGGAGATTACGATGATGTTCAAGGAGATTTTTGAAGCCTTGGAATTCACCACACGTTTTCTACTACTAGTAAATATGCATGTGCATTGCACGTGGTAATTTCAGATAACATTAATAATTTCAATATCTTTATTAGAATCATTTAAAAATGATAAATAATAAAAGATTGGTGTGCTGGTGTATTTAGATTTTATATTTCATTTTCATTGTTAATAAAAGTACTTCTTATTTATCATATTTATTTTTGTCTAATATGATAAATATATGATATTAGAGATGTGCACAAATTTTATGAGACCGGATCTGTTCTTCACACCTGGCACCTCACAAGCGCCTCACACACATCCTATCATACATTGGGAACATCTCCCGTACTTATTTGTTATTATTCATGGGAGATGTTCCCAATGCACGGTGGATGTGCATGTAAGGTGAGGAGCAGATCCCGTCACAAATTTTATAGACAATTTTTTGTGTTTTCTATATTTTTTATTTCTATCTATTTTTTGAGTTTTTATTATATAATTATGATACCATGTGCTAACCTACTTGATTTGAAAACAAGCAATCTCATTTTTGGATAACTTTAATTTTTTTATTCCATTTATATAATTAATTCTAAAAATAATTCTTATTTATCACACTTATTTTTTTATATGATAAGCTTATAATATCTTAGATACCTCAAAACTTTCTATAAATTTTATGTATTTTATTTTTTGTATTTCTATCTATTTTTTAAATTTTTATTATTTAATTATGATATCATTGGCTAATTCATTTATCCAAACAATTGGACCACTATGGTGCAAGTCAAGTAGATTGGGCTGAATTTAAGCTTCACCTAAGCCCAACTCTATGCATTGGACCTAAGGCTTCAGACCAAAGTCGAACCTAATTTGTTTAACTTGGGCTCAACCTCCAAACTATATTGAAATTTGATGCACTTGGGTTAGTCTTAGATTTGGGTCTGTCAATTAGCCCCATAAAAAAATTTAACATAAAATGTATGTGTATAATTGTATATACATGCATGTAAGCAAATATATGCTATATATGTATTTATGATTGTATGTATATAATCAGGCTAAAGTCACTAGATTTTAGCTACCTAAGGGAGATTGGGCCCAAACCGAAAAATAAAAAAGCTCAAACTTTTGAACCTAGGCCTAAGCATAAGTCAATGACCAAAAATCGAAGCTAGCTTGTCTAAAATTATGAACTAGGTCGTTTCGAGCTTGAGTTAAGCCCACCTTATAATTTGCCTCCTTATGAACCATTGACAATTAATTAGATGCAAAAACAATTTTCTTTTTAAGCTAGTTTAGATTTTAATTCTATTTCTATCATTAATAAAAATAACTCTTATCTATCACACTTATTTTTGTTTAATATGATGAATAAATAGTATTAAATATGCACTCAAATGTTTTTTTACAAAATTTCTGTCTTTAATAATTTTTTTGTCCCTATCCTTTAAAATTTTTATTATTTATTTATGATATCGTGATTGATCCATTTGACCTAAAAGGTTGAATCATTGACCCACCACTTGAATAGGAAAATGGTTTCATTTTTGGGTAGTTTTAAATCTTTTATTTCATTTTCAGCGAATAAAAATACTTTCATTTAGCATGCTTAATGTTGTTTGATATGATAAATTGATAATATTAGGATGTGCCTAAATTTTTTATAATTTTTGTAAAATTTATATTTATTTTTATTATTTAACTATGAGAACATTGGTTGACCTATTTGACGACAATGGTTGAATTATTTACTTGCCACTCAGACAAAAGAGTGGTTTATTTAATTATTTTTCATGTTGGTTTTGAACATAGGTTTTACATTATTAAAAATATGATATATATTTACATTATAGAATTTATTGATAAGAAATAAAAATACTTCAAATAAAATATCTAAGGAGAGAGAATGAGAGTTAATACCTTAATGAGAGAAAATTTGTTGAAGTGAAAATTAATAGTACTTTAAATTTTATGCTTTGCT